TTATAAAACAGTTACCTGCATGCCACTATCATTCACATATTTTATTACAACTTTATTTAAATCTTCAAAAACACTATATCCATAATCAGCACAAATTGAACAGAGTCCACCTAAGTCATCTCTATATTTATACCTACCATTTTGTAATTGAAGCATGAATGATGACCTTGACATTCCATTTGGATATGTTTCTGAGTATTTTTTCCATAAAGAAATCTTCTGATCTTGCAAGTATAACATTGGTAATTCAGTTTTAGGATCAACTTTATAAGAGCTCATAGAAACATTGGCTTTGTCTGAAAAAAATGTATCAAATTGTGATTTTATTTCTTCAGTAATCCTGGTTTTTCGAGTATAAACTGGTTTTTCTAAAAGCTTGGACCCATGCCCATAAATTTGAGAAAACCTTTTAGCTCCTGATATAGAATTAGGTGAAACCTAATAAAGTTTTATTAGCTTGTATATATAAATAAATATATTAATTAATGATTAATTATAGATTCTTTACTTGTAATTTTTTTTGTAATATGTCATATGAAAAATAATTTGCAATAATGGATAATATCCTCTGCTTTTCATCTATCCCTCTTTTATTCTCATCAAGACTTTGCTTGAAACAACCCCAAAAGGTTTCATTGCTATTATAGGATGGATATGAACTTAAAAAACCAGATTTATATAAAAAATCAATATTATTTTTATCAGATTTAGGATCAATGGCTCTAGACCAAAACCTATACTAAAATGAAAATGGTAATTGTATGTTTATTAAATAGAAATAATCATTTAGCTTAAATAAATTATCTTTCATAAAAAAAAATTTTTTTTATTAACTTACTGGTGAAATTTTATTATTGAAAGGAGTAGCATTTGTACAACCCACAGCTTTTAGCATTGCATTCCATGCTTGTAATTCATGATCACTACATTTATGACCTATGGGATACATTTTTTCTAAAAAGGAACAAAGCTCTATTATGCTAGAATCTTGTTTATGCCATTGATAAAAAAAGTTATACCAATTTATATTTGCAATTGTTTTTTTTTTAAGACAATAATCAAATATTTTTTGCAGCAATGCTTCATCTTCCCATTCTTCTGGTGTACAAGTCAAAGCTTTCAATTCACATAGGATTATTTTTGTTGTATATATCATTATCTAAACCAGCAATTTTTTTGCCTTCAAGCTTAACCAGAATCCCCACTTCTTTCCAAGCATCATTTGGACCTTTTTTTTTGATTGTTTTAAGTAAATCATTTTCAAACCATATCTCCACTACAAACTTATCATCAATTATTTTTTGAAAAAATGTACAATAATTTTTTTTATAAGTATAATTAAAAGTAGATACATAACCATTCCCAGCTCCACATAATGCATTGTTATTTAAACTCCTTAAGCCACAAATAAATAGGTTGATATTATTTTCTATTTGAATTGAATATGATCTAAATTCAATATTTAATAACAACTCTTGAATAACTTCATCCAATTCAAATCCTAAAACCTCAGCTCCAGATATTTTTCTTGTTGAATTAGGATTAATCTTTTGATACAACTTGGATACAGCATCAGTTGGATTTTTTTCAACTTCACCTGAAATTTCTTCACATTGGCAACAATATCCTGGACAAAATTCATTATCTTTGTAACCTTTTATAATACGCAATATATACTTTTTACTATTTAGGAAAAATTGTGTCTTCATTCCAATGCAAATTGGATGATAAAAACAAATGTCACTTTTATTCACTTTCTTAGGGGTTTGCCACCACCAATCTTTTGCATGAATTCCATAATGTAAATCAAAGTCTATAGTACCAGTAGATAATAATTGGACTGAAGTGGTCATTATTAAAAAATAATTTATTATTATATTATCTTAAAAAAAAAAAATGCAAGGAATGTTTTTTTTTTTAATTTAAAATATTTAAAAATATGAATTTGTTAATTTAAATATGAATTTTTAAAAAAAAAATAATGGACAATTTTGGATTCCGTGATCTCCTAAATTTTAATAGTAATAGGTTTAATATCCCGGATCTGCATATTAAATTTCTATCGACCACCAATTAAAGCTTTTTCCTGTATAATAGAACCAGTGATTGTTAAATTACATTCGAGAGCCTTTTCAATCCATAATATCAAGGGTCCATCGATCTTAGAAGCAGGTAAAATACTTGTTCTTTTTAATCTTGCTTGATGGGAGTTTAGGTCATCTTTCAGATTCTTTTAATATATCGCTTACTTGACCTTGGCTAATACCATATCTTGCTGCTAATTCAACTTTTTTGGTTCAAGGTTGTTTTTTTTTTAATAGGCAAATTTCTCTTTTTTGTTGTGCTGTAATAAAGTTTCATTTTTTAGATGATTATAGTTGTTCTTGTGTATTAAACTTTATTTTATAATTTTTTTTTAAATAAATAACCAACCATTCAAATAACAAGGCTTGTATTTATATCTTTTAGAATTTCATAAAAGTATTAAATTACAGAAATGATCGTTCGTTTTATTACAATTTCCACAAAAATAATCATATTAATAATATTGATATTAATATTACATAAAAATATTTATCGTACGATTTTTTTGTTGGTCATTTTCCACGTGACTTCGTTGTAACGCGATTAGTATTAGTAACTATATTCGTTGTCGGGTATATTTCATTCTTTTCTAAAGTACTTCATAGTGCTTATGGTCGTATTCAAATAGTAATAGGTTTCTCCATTTATGCGATTATTTGGTTTACCTATGGCTTAGTTTATGGCTTCGATAATAATGGAATAAGTAATAGTCGCAGTATAAAAAATTGTGTACACGCGCTAAAATGCCAAGAGCTTTCAACTGCATGTTATTTATCTGGGTTCAACCTAATATGTATGAAGATTTACCAAAATCGAAATAACGCAAATTTTAATTACCAATTTTTTTTTACAATTCTAAATTAAAAAATATAAAAATGTCTTCATTTTTTGCAAAAATTATATTTATATTCTCTTTTATAACATTATTATATTTACCTTCAATAAATTCAAGTTTTTTTAACAGAAACAATAAACATTCATTAACTAATGGACTGACACCGCTAAAGGATACCGGTCTACAAAACATTTCAGGAACGGTGGCGGCTTTTGGCGATTTTAATTCGGATAAATTGTAAATTATTATTATTACGTTGATTTTTGGGGGAGAAGGGAAAAATCAAAAATAAATTTTCGATTTTAAAAAAATTTTTTTAGTACCGATATAGTTGTTTTAGATTCTACTCAAAAATCAATAAGCATATATTTATGGGATCATGGTATGCGGTGGATTTTATTATTTATTTAGTAATCAGTTATTTCTGATTTATTTTTTTCACGCACTCTCTTATGATTTTTCATCAAAAATAACATTATTAGAATCAAACAAGTTTTCTAAGGCAAACTCGTCAGATATAGAAATAAATGATTTTTTGATCACAAATGTAATACCAGGAGATTATAATTATGATGGAAATTTGGATTTATTATTGATGGGTCAAACTAATCCATCAACTATATATAGGAAAAATGAACCATTATATATGAGAGTATATTTTGGATATGATAATGCTACATTTAGTTAGTAACTACATGATCTTTTATTAGTAATATTTATTTTTAACCCTCCGAAAAACTTGAGATTTACAAATATATGCTTCTTCAAAATGATTGATTTCTCTAGATCTTAGTTATGCTGATCTTGAATCATCATATTCACAACATCCAATAACATTCGATTTTGATGGTGATATGAAAACAGACTTGCTTGGGCATTATTTCTCTTCTACACACGATAGTAAATTATTTGTATGGAAAAATGTATATAATGAATCTAATGGAACATTATTTGAAGTGTAAGCTTAAGTTAAATCCTATTATTAGTTGGTATTTGTTAATTATTATGTAAATCCATATTATGATATAAGAAAGAAAATTCCATCATTGATTGACTTTATTGGAGAGTAAAGGGAGAAGATTTTTGTCATTGGAAATCATAAATATAATAATTATAATAACCAACTAATAATAATTTATGTATTTTATACAAGGGTTCCATTATCAGACAACATGACCATGCCACAAAAAGGTTGTAGATTATCAGAACCACATTCAAATGCTTTTATAGATCTTAATGGTGACTGTTTATCAGGTAGATGATGGAATTTTATATTTGCAAATATGTATACATATCAAATATTATTAACATATATTGCAAAATTAGATCTATTCTTGACATGCGAGGAAAATTTCAGGGAAACATCATATCAAATATGGGTTAATACAAAGGATCATGGATACGTTCTTACCAGATATGGTGAATTACCTACATATGCAGGTCCAATTACATTTGCTGATATGGGTTAGTAATAATAGTAATAATAGTAATAAAGCGCGTATTTGTTAAAAATTTCCTATTGGTTCAAATTAATTTTACTATTCATTATTTATTTATATATAAATAGATGGAGATGGTACAATAGATATGGTATTCCCGGTGTGTAAAAAATCCGAGTGTGCCATTCATATAGCTTACAATAAACAAAAGCCTTTATGCTCAAGTAAAGATGAAACAAATTGTAGAAAGTTATCAAATTTGTGTGAACCTGATGATGACTTTAGATTTAATCTAAACGATGATCCAGATAACGATGTAAAAATTATTATAGTTATTTAAATTTTATAAAATTATTTATATAAATCTTATTTTAAAATATATATATATATGGTTAAAAAAACTTAGGCATATACAATTATAGATGTTAAAGATTTACTAGATGGTGGAGTAATAGTTATTAAAGATAAATCATTCAAAGGAATGTTGCCTGTTCCAATTAGAATTGGTAGGTCTTTTATTACTATTACCACAGGGCTGGCAGTGTAAAGGAGTTAAAATCCTAATTTAGTCTAGACTAAACTTGACTTAACACATGACTAAATAGTTTAGTCAGTTTAGCCAAGTGTTCAATTGAGTCACGCGGCCAGCCCTTATTACCATTCATTTTACTTTGTTCACATTATAATTATATTAACTGATTTTATTATATAGGTGATTACAATATGGATGGTTTTCCCGATCTTCTTGTTATTAGTGAAAAGGGCACTGAACATTTTGTATCATTATTAGAGTCAATTCCATGCACACTTGAATATTGTGATCCATTAGCTGTTAAAGCTCAAAGACGTGCATTTGTTAAAGTGATTGATGGTGCAAATTCATTAAATGAAATTACAAATGCAAAAGGTGCTGTTTTCTTTGATATTGACGAAGATGTAATTATTATTTATTTTATTTTTTATAAGTCTATGTATTATAATATTATGAGAAGAAATTTGTAATTTAAATGTATTTATTTATTTTAGGGAACGTTGGATATAATGGTTCTTGCTGATCTAAAAACTAATGACGCAGCAAGAGATATTTACTTGATAAATAATGATTACTTTAATGATGCTTTCTTTTTAAAAACTTTGGGTATGTTTAATAATAATAATAATAACAATTATCATCATCATCATCATTATTATAATTATGATTTTCTTTCAATAATAATAATGTGCCTGCCTTGTATTTTGTAGTATTAAATGGTGTATCGCAAAGACAGGTATTTTAATTCACATATGATGTATTTCTTATTTAATAATCAAACCTTTAATTTAATAATTGTAATCATTGTTATTATATGATAATTTAATAGCATTATGGAGTAAATTATCCAGGCTCGGCGTTTAAATTTACTGTTGTTGATACATACGGAAATAAAAGAGCAAATCAAGGTACTTTTCAATAAATGATTGTAAATTTGAATTGATTGAGTAATCAGATATTAATTAATATATGGATTTAAATAGTTGCACAGTATTCGCAAGTTGGATATCTTTATTTACAAACGCCTTACACACTCTTTGGGCTTGGACGTACAAATAATTATGTTGAAGAATTATTTGTGGGTGTTGTGCGTAACCAGGTACTGCTTGTTGTTATTGATAATACTAATTGCATAAATGTAGATTATGTGATTTTTACTGACTTCTATTTTATAATAATAGTCTTATCATTATACTTCATATTTTGGTGTAATTCCAAATTCTCAGCTTATCATTATACCATATCAACCTGATGATTATAATGACATTTACACGTATGTCTATTACTAAAATATATTTAATACATATTTATATTCTAATTTATGTTCTTGATTAAATAGATGGGCATTAGAGCTATATATTCATCCTGGCGATTGGATTCCATGGGTATTAACTACACTGGCCACAGCTACTGTTATTTTAGCAACTATTGTTGCAGCGTTACATTGGATGGAAAAGGTAAATAAATTGAGAAGATTTCTTACTATCTATAGATTAATTTATTAATTAATTATTAATGTTATTAATATTATTAATATTAGAGAGAAGATGAACTAGAAAAGAAAAAATCATCACTTGTTATAAATTTTGATGCATTATAATAATAATAAAATTAAGATTAATTTAATTGTATTTATTTATACCCCAATAATTGTACATAGTAATTTAAAATATAATGCATTAAATAAGGAACATTTATTTTCATTAGAAGTTGGCTTATTGATTTGAATTTATAAAACTTGAACAGTTGGTTCCCTGCGAATTTATGATCAATGTGTTTAAATTTAGCAAACTTGATAAACTTTTCTTCTTTACATAAAATGTCGTCTAAATAAAAAGAATACTACTACCTCATAATCGTACAATATCTATTGATACTTCAAATGATATCAGTATTAGCATTAGCATTTGTATTAGTATGTAATTGTCCTTATCGTTATGTATAATTTAAGCCATTACATAAATCTAATGGAACGATATTATTATAATGATGATGATGATGGTGATGATAAAAGATATTGAAAAGATTCTTTAAAAAATATAATAATTTATTATTATTATACGTATTAGCCAGAAAATTCTATCGATACTATCACCCACCCCGTTTAGGATAGTGGCTAAATTTTAGCTTGATCAAATATTTATTGAATTTTTGCAATAAATATTCGATTAAATGTTAATTTACAATAAATTCTTTACAAATCCAAGACAGTTTTAATACTAAAATAAAAAAGGAGATGACACAAAAGTGAGGAGGAACTATCTAGTTTTAGGCGAAGGATATCACAATATTATGATTAAATCATATTTAATTTAGAGTTCCTGATTATTAAATCATAATCCAATTCAAATTTTACTTCAATTTCAAAAGAATGTAGAAAAACTGTTGAAAGGGATCGATTGGTTTGCTTGTGACCGAAACTAACAGTTTGATGGTTTATCCAAGATAATTTGATATCTTTAAATAATTTTTCAAAATAATTTTTAATTTGATATTCAGCTGTCGACAAAATTTTGTAAATAGAATTTTTGAATGGTAACAATTCGTCAATTGGCAGTAAAGGTTCACTTTGTTGTTCTTTTTGTATATAAATTATTTCACCATTTGAAATAACTTTTAATCCAAAATATGATCTGAAATTAATTATATGTAATTTTATAATGTTTTCCATTGCTTTGATGAATTGGTTCAATGTGATTAAAGCAATTTGATTTCCATATGCATTTTGTATAGTGTTGGGAATTGGAATTTGGAAATAATCAAATTCTCTTAATATTTCTAATTTACTAACATGGCAATAACAACAATTATTATCCTTGATCTGCTTACTACTATTACTATTACTATTACCACCACTACTATCACCAATGTTACTATTATTGTTGCTGATATCATTGCTAGAATCTGAATTTCCTCCGCATTCGTTATGATCAGAAAAAATTATCTTACCACCATTACGATAATACTCTAATACATAATGAAAAGCTTTACCATTACGATCAATAAAATATTCATTGTTTTCATTATCACTATTAATTGGATTTAGTAATTCTTTATTTCTTTCTTGAAACATTGTACCGAGCAACGTCTCAGGATACGCTGTTAATGTTGATCGATATGTTTTATACTGTCGTATTTTATAGAGCGATTAATTAATCCTTACCATTGATGATTAATACATTAAACGATAACATTACTTTTATTATTTTTATTATTTTTAAGAATTTTTACCTTAACACCACTTACATTCAAAGTAATTATGTCTGAGAAGGGGGGAAGAGAGGGGGAAGGAGAGGGAGATATTAAAGATTTTGAAGGAGACGACATTATATATTTTTTTTTCGTAATACGCACGTGTGAAATGAAAAAAAATTATAATTACCATTACCATTTATACATGTGATCATCACGGTTTTGGATCTATTATAATAATAGTAATTATTGTTATTATTTTTATTATAAAACAACAAATAAAAAAAAGGAGGATTTTTAAAAAAAAAAAATCATGGAAAAATTAAATGAAGAAAGAATTATACTTAATGTCGGAGGAATAAAGGTAAAATAATAATAAATCTATGTATTTGAATATATACATTCAAAATATTTTAATAATAATAATAAATAATAATTAATAAATATATATAGTATGAAACTTATCGTTCGACATTAATAGCGTTTCCCGAAACATTACTTGGCACAATGTTTCAAGAAAGGAATAATGAATTATTGAATTCAACAAATAACAATAATGAAAGTAATAAAGACGAATATTTTTTTGACAGGAACGGCAAAGCTTTTCATTATATTATGGAATGGTATCGTAATGGTGGCGAAATAATTTGGCATAATCATCACGATGGAGCAACGGTAGCAACAGAAGAAGGAAAAAATGATGATGTTAAATGTAAAGGAGGAGGAGAGGATGATTGTTGCTCTTGTTGTTGCTCTTGTTATTATAGTTGTGTTAATAAATTGGAGGTGTTGAAAGAGTTTGATTATTTTCAAATCCCAATTAGCAACAACAACAATAACAACAATAATAATAATGTTATCAATAAAAATCATCACCAATACCATAAACATAGTTGTAATCATCTAATATTTAAATCATCGCCAATAATTATTGCTGATGATGAATATTTAGGAAGCAAGGTAGATAGGTTTATTACAGCTTTAATTGAAACAATTGATGATTATCGATGTGAGTTTGTTGAAGATTTTAGCATAACGTTTTATAAAAGAGAGAATTTTACAAGATCAAATAATGTTGTTAGTAATAATGGCAATTGTAGCTGTGGTAATAATAATGATAGTAATAATAAGAATAATAATAAAAATAGCAATAACAATAAATGTGCTAGTAATAATTGCAGCAATATCAATATTAGCAACATTAATATTAATAATGATAGTGATAAATTAATAAGATTGAATCCAAGTTTAAAAAAATCAAATGAAAAATTAAAGGAATTTGAGATTTCAGGATATGGAATTATTAATAATTATTTATCATCAATAATTGGATTATTATTAGGAGGAGATGAGAATAATGACAACGAAGATAATAAAAATAGTAACAATAAATCAATTGATGAAATTCTTATGGTTCGTAGTGATGATTTAACACCTGTTGAAGAAAAATACATTCAATTAAATGTCTACTTGAATTATGATTATGATAAAATTTTTGAAAATATCAAGAAATTTAGCTTAGATTAATCATATATTCATTCTTATAAGACAGATTTTTTATTTAAATATTAAATATATAATATGATATTTATAATAATATAATATGTATGTTAATATTACTTCTAATTCTAATAATAATAATTAATTTATTTCATTTAAAATATATATATATATGTATATATGTATATATATGAAATATGTGCAGTATAAATAATATTCTAAGGTTTTAATTTTCTAATGATATAAATGATATAACATCTTAATCTTCATCAATCATCTCCAACACCACCCACCACCTACCTATCTGTTATTGATGGTTTATATTTGAATAGTTGACTATTCTTGATGATCAGTTCAGGTTCAAGTTTGAATGAAATTTGTAATTCAATACCTGAAATAATTTTACCAGATCCAGAATCTTCGATTTTATAATCGCCATTAAACCAAGTCAATTTTATTGCTTTAAACAGATCTTCAAAATGTTCTTGCAAATTAGCTCCCATCAATATCAAGATCTGATAACCTGATGCTTCAAAAGGCAACAATTCCTCGATTGACAAATTAAATTTTCTCTGATGTAAATTGTTTGTCGAATGATTAAGTTGCTTTTCTGGTTGAATGTGTCTTGGCTGATGAGTTTGTTGTGTTAATGGTTGTATTGTTTGATCATTGTCAAAATTTGATATGTAGTTTATTTGATAATTCTCATTAAATCGTATGGTGAAATCTGATATATAATTCTTTATATGCAATTTTATAATGTTTTCCATCGCTATAATAAATTTATCCAATGTATCCGATGCTTCCTCAATACCATATTCAATATTTATGTTTCTTAAAGGTATTTGAAAATAATCTAATTCATATTTTAACTCTTCAAATGTTATATTATATATACAAGTCTTTTTATTGCCGTTACCGCTGCTGCTGTTACTACTGCTGCTACTGCTGCTGCTGCTGCTGTTGTTACTATTGTTATTGTTGTCATAATCTTCTTCCTTTGACCAAAAAAATTTGCCTTTACGATACCATTCCATAATATAATGAAAAGCCTCGCCGTTACGATCAAAAAAATATTCATTTCCGTTTATAGGATCTAATAAATCTTTATTACTATCTTTAAACATTGTACCAAGTAAAGTTTCAGGATGGGCTGTCAGTGTCGAACGATAAGTTTTATACTATATATATACATTTATATTTGTATTAGAAAATAACAGTAATAACAATAACGGGAAAAAGTATTAATATTGAAAAAAATAATTTTAAATCAAAAAACCTTAATTCCTCCAACATCAAGAATAATTTTTTCCTCATTCATGATTCAAATTGTTATAAAATTCTTTCGTTCGGTCACACAAACCAAGTATCCAATTTTTAACAGTCGTTCCAGAAGTTGTTTTTTAAAATCTAAAATATTTCGGATTCGGCTAACAACAATTATTACTATGGATCTTTGCTATTATGAAAATTGTGTTGTAATGGATTATCTGATTTTGGTTTATATATGTGCCACTCTATACATTTCCTTTTATCTTGCCGTGTGGCTTATCTAAACTCACTACATAAGGGCCTCCCAATTATACATAGGAAATATGGCCAAAGTTTCCATTTTATTAAAATAAAATTTTGATTCTTCGATTTGTTTGAAGTGGCCCCTCTTCTTCTACTTCTGTATATATATATAATCCATCAAATGAAAATCGATTAACTAAGCTTATCAGAAAAAGGCTGATATGGCATTAGCTTTTAAAAAATCATGTGATCACGACATTAACGGCGGACTAAATTTCGGGATGAGTCGGATCGAATCGATCAAATTGAAATTTCTATAAAACAACAAAGCCGCGGCGAGTTCGAACAAAATATTTTACCAGGACTTGAAAGACTGTGTTCGAGTTATTACATCCCCGGAGAGCGAACTTTACTTAATATTCAAGTCGTATTTACTTGTTGGTTTCGAGTAATTCAAGATCAAAGTTTTACAAGATGTGAAAACACTTTTTCAAAAGCAACAAAATCAAGATGGGATCAATTAAAATCTTTGCTCAAGTTTTAAACACGTGTATTGAGTTATTATCTCTTATCCGTAGAGCAGCTTTTACTTAATGTATAAGGTGTGTTTACTTTATGGTTTTGAGTATTTCATGGTCGAAGTCGATGTGTGACATATATTGATCCGAATCAAGTTAATTTATATGGAACCCAAGGATTACCACCTATTCGAAACATTTTAAAAAGTACAGGGCGGAAAATTTGCTCCTCATATATTTAAATTAATGCCTGAAGATTATCTAAAGGGATTAAAAATAGAAGATAGTCATCTTAAATTAGTTGTCAACATTTTATGCTGGTTTGGACAAAATCCATCTTTCGCCAATTGGTGAATATTATTGTACTCTTGACGCTTGTAGTAGCTTTTAGTCAATATGGGAAAATGACAAGTCTTTAATATGTTTTATGATATTGGTTTTCAACAAATTAAATTCATGAAAGGGATCATTAGCAATTTGACAACTTCTTGGATTTTTGAATGTCATTTAGCTTTTTAAATAGACCTCCAAACTTGACTTGATATTTAAAGCCTTTTCCACTTTCATAACATTCAATTCTGTAATTGGCGTTTTTGGATTCAATATTTTGTTATGTTCCATTTATTTATTTCTATAATAACAATAAAAAGTCCAATATGATTGGATTAATAAATTCTCCTTTATTCCCACCCTCCCTTCCAATAATTAGTTGTACGGGCAGTCGTTTTGATTTATTGATAATTCATTTTATTATTTTTAATTTAATCACTCAATTAATATCAAACCAATAGATAATTAAACAATCATTACTATAATTATGATTATTTTTTTACCACGCTCCAAGGCCATTCATTGGTTCAAGTAAAATTATTCAATAAATTGTCGCCAAATTCTAAGTCTAATTAATCTAATTTAGAAAAATAAAAATAAATATTAATTTTGATTTTGATCATCATCTTGTTGACCCTGAGTATAATTCTGATAAATAGAATTCCACGCATGTAATAAAATATTAGGAAGTTGTAAAATATCTCCACGCCTTGCATGATTACGAGAAAGTCTACGAAATTCTTTGCTGACATTATAACTTCTAACAACACCTTCTGGTGAAACAAAATCTACTGCAACTTTAACACAAGCAGTATAATTACAAACTTGATGAGCACAACCTGCAGGTATGAAAATCATATCACCTGGATTCTGATAAATTCTCCAGCCTTTAACACCTTGTTCTTGTAATAACATTTCCTTTAATGTTTCATTTAGGTAGTAACATTGGTCATGAATTGGATCGTCAATCCTTAGTCCTATTTTATTGGTGTAGCCATGTAAAAATTTTCGAATTTTTGGTAAATCATTTACGTGATAAAGATCCCAGACTGCTGCTGCTGGTTTTAATTGTTCATCCGGTAGTCTTTCATGAATTCCTGGTGCATATGTCATTAGATTAACCGCATCAGTTACATCAAGGTGAAGCCTTGTAGTTCCAACCCCCTTCAATCCATCCTCAGATCCATATGCATTATACATTTTAGGACCTAAATCTGGGCTTTTAATAAGATCATTGAAAAAATCAATTAAAAAATTATTAAAAGGTCAGATAAATAATATTCATGCATCATGAATGTAATAATGAAATTAATTGCTATACAACACTTACACAATATATTCTCTAGGTAATTGATTAACCAAATTCATATTACCATTGCGTGTCGAATATTGTGGGAATGGCATAGTAGACATAAAATCTTTAAAATGGTCAGGAAATTTTCTAGCAAAATCTTGATTTGATGGCCAATCCTTTATTTTTTAAAAAATATATATATTATCTTATTAATAAAAAAACTTTTTTTGGAGAGGTTATAATAATAATAATAATTATTATTATTATTATTATTATTGATACATAAATATATTATACCTTTAATTTCAAACAAGTTATGTTTCTACGATATTTAGGTCTTTTTTCAAGGTTTACAAATCCATCGAAAAATTCTCTAACAGTTGTGTGAAAGATTTTGTCAGTCTTGCAATCGATAGTATCACATGGTGTATTACCATATCGTTTACTAAGATAATTTGGATTCCAAAATTGATCTTCATATTTCAAGTTCCTAATCACAAACGGATATCCTTTTTTCCAAAATTCGCGAAACTGTTCAATTGTCATTTCTCCATTATTCCATTCAAGTTGATTGTGGCTTTCGTGTGAATTGTCATAAATTTCTGAATCAATATCTTTAAGTTCATTTAAACCATCATTATCATTGCTGTTGTCGTTGTCGTCGGCTATAATGGGTGTGGGTATGGTATCAGAATTTTTTATGGTTTTTTCTTCAGTAATTATAGAGTCGTTATTTTGTTCATTTAACAACAATAATTGCTGGGTCGGTTCAGGATTGATAATAGTAGGTGTAAATTCAATTGATTCAATAGATTTGGATAATTCAATCGGTCCAAACGACTCCGTATGTTTTGTTGGTTCAATCAATTCCATTGGTTTTATTGGTTCGATCAACTCCATAGATTTCGATATTTCAGATTTCAGTGAATTTGTATATTCGGGTGATTCCATAGCTATTAACGTTGTCGCTGGGTTTGATGGATCATTAATTAATTCAGGGTTATTTTCGTTGAATATTGGAATTGTATCGTCAACATTAAGTATTTTGCATGTTTCCTTGTATAATTTTTCAATTTCTGAACGTTGATAGAAACAGACACCCAACATATGTCTTTTTTCATGCCTACGTTTCAAGGAACATTTGCCAACTGTTCCAAATGTTTTTGGCGACAATTCATCCCATTCATCGTAACATTCAATACATATTTCTCTACCACACACAATGCATATCCAAAATCCACTAAAAATTGTATGCTGACAATTATCACATAATTGTCTAATGTTTGCTTCAGGATTTTTTCTACATACAGCTTTGTCTATGTGAGAAAATTCTCTTTGCAAAATTGTTTTAAAAGTAGGTGCTATCAAATCTAATTTTTTTAAAAAATGTATAATGTGAATATAATTATAATTATTGTTATTGATCTTTGATTTGATTTTATAAAGCGATACCTAGTATATATTGGCTATCCTCTTGATTTAATGGGATTTCTCTTGATTTTAATATTGAGGCAGGGTTTAAATCCGAAATAAAATTTGAACCTTCCATTATTTCATCTGTTATAGGGTTAATATAAAAGTACCTGAAATTTTGGAATCTACATTTATCTACTTTCTTATTTACGCCTAAATAAATTGTTATTAAATAAATCATTTAAAAATTTTTTTAATAATACAATCATAATTTCATCTTTAATATTATGTATGCTCCTTACAGGGTTGGCATCTATCAAATATTGTATATTTCTTGTTGTTGCAAGTGCTTTCTTGAATATGTATATTTTCACTGATTTTATCAGAAGTAATAATTTTTCCTATTGTTGATGTAGAAACCAAGATTTCTCTTAGGCGTTTGTTGGGAGACAAACATTCTTCTGTTTCAATTTTACGTTTAGTCAATGTTGCAAGACTTTGATCCAAATTTTCAGTTTGATTTGTCACTGTGTCATCGTTGTCAATGTTCATTTCCATGTCGTTATTGTTATCTTCGTTGTTATTAGTATTAGCATAGTGGACATTCGTTTTATCACTTGTGACAAAATCGATTGTTGATCTTTTTTATGTTGTGAAACATGTGATTTATAATAGAAGAACTTTGTTTAACATACACAGTGAGTCTCGCTCGATTTAACGGATATTTTTTTTCCAGATAATAATAATAATGATAATAATAAATGATAATTTTAATTTATTATCCGTTAAATCAAAAGCGATTGATCAAATCACGTGATACACATTATATGCAAAAAAAAATTACATCAAATAAACATCAAATAAATATTAAAAAAATACAACAATAATATTAATATCATTGTTAACTCATAAGTTCGTCAATTCAACATTGTTTTGCTTCTTGGGTACTTCTATAAGAAGTTTCGTTTTATTGCTGTTTTATTCGTATCATTAGAGATATGTTGTTAATATTAATAATAATAATATTATATTAAACTCGGCTAACAAAAAAAGGCAAGTACAAGGATCATCATTATCCGTAATATCGAGAGAAATTTATTATTATTATTATTATTATTATTATTATTATTATTATTACTATTATTATTATTATAACAAGTGATTTTAAAAAAATATCCAGTAAACCGAATATATTATGAAAAATCCCATTAGATCTGTTAGCGAGATAAAATAATTATAGACAATTTGGTTTTTGAAAATTTATCCGTTAAACCCCTAAATCCGCTAAACCGAGACTCACTGTGTACATTTTTTTTTTTGAAAAAATAAAATATTTATGCTAACAATTACCAATTTATCGATAATTGGCGAGAACCTGACACTTTATTATTATTGACAGCATTTCATTTAAACTATCATATGATCTTAGCTATGTGGGTACAAGTCCTGAATAAATGGTTTTTATCAATTTCAAAATATCGAGCTCTAGCAGATATCTATTTAAATTTAAGTCCATAACCATTAAGTTCAAGTCCAACTGAATGACCTAGTAAATACGTTCCTTTAAAATCAGCTTTTTTATAACTAAAATTTTCTGATTTCTTGAAGTTTAAAATAAATTTTTTTATAAAACTCTCGGCTCTCTTACACTTCATTTTGACACGTTGGGAATCGAATCTCAGTATATTGCCTGAACCATACACAGGGACTTTGTTACTAGTTCGCTTGACGCGAACCGCTTTCCTCTTCACCACCATTAAATATTATTAAAAAAAACCAATTTAATTATCAGATTTTAAGTTGTATACTAAAATAAAACATTTTATATCATATGCAAAGATGCAGTCATGCAACTCATTAAAGATGACGATATGGCTCAATATCACAAAAGAGACTTTCATCAAAAAAGTCTTTTAACAAGTTCTGTTGGACAGAAGCAGGATCGCGAAAGATACAACGCAAGAAGCTATCAAGAATATAATAGCGGGAACATAACAAGAATTTCAAATGGAAGAAAGAGGTTGTTAATCAAGAATTTGATAATATATGGTAAAGAAATATCCAAAAACCAAAAACTCCTAGTGATGATATGGATGCATGCTATTGAAGAAACTGAAAAGTTAATGAAAGTATTAATGACGATAATGATGAAGGCAGTAATGATGAAAATGATGGTGACAAACAATGAACAAAAAATAAATGTAATTCGAAAAAAATCATTAATTTTATCGATGCATAAACCAGTTCAAGAAAGTAAATTATAATAATGATAAAAGATTTAAGACCATATAAAAACTTGTCTTCAAAATAGTATTTTTATTGTTTACTGTAGTTTTTACAGTGTTGTTATATTGTAATTACAAAGAATATTTGCATTGTTTAAAAAAAAGAATGAATGAAAATTGCTAATTTTCAAATTAGCAATAATTATTAAATATACATTGACTACGTATGTAAAAAGAGTGTATGAATAAATTATTATTTAAAAAAAAGAAAAAATATTTACAACTAAAATACATTAAAATTTATCAACCTCTCTCTCTTCTGAATTACTCCTGTCAAATTTGGATTTATAAAAATATTGTTCTTGAAAAATATTAATAAATTAAACAATGAATAGTATTTTTGAAATTGGAATAATTAAGAAAGGATAAAAAAGAATGTTTGATATTAATGTGATGAAAATATTTTAATTCAAATCTCTTCCAATTGAATATTGGAAAGGTTGGGAAAGATGGATGATATTAAGGGTGGGTGTGAAGTATCAAAAAGACTTTATAATAATTAAAGACGAATGAATACTTGAAGGAATGGTGATTTTTCAGAAAATTATTTTTTATACTTTATAAGTGATAAAAAAATCAGTTGATGATAATAGAGAAGAGGCATTAGCCCAGGTAGATGTACGATTATGTTTTCGAGATACAATAATATTTTTAGCAAATTCTAATCTCTCGCTATTATTTTTATGTTCACGTAAACTCGGTAGACTTGATCTTTTTAATCCACTCTATTATTAATAATAATGATAAATTTTTAGTTATCATATTTACAACCTTACAATAGCCAATCAATCAATCAAATTCGTTCATTCATACCTTATACTTTTCATATTGAAAGATGTTATGAAGACGTGACCTAGTTTGTTCAAAGGTTTCTCTGGCAATCTTTTCTCTGAACTCGTCTATTTATTTTATTTCTTATTTTAAATTTTTTTATTTTATTTGGTATAATAATGATAATAGTATAAATGATTAATAAAACGTTACCTGATAAATTAAATTCCGGTGTAGACATTGTAGACCTTGACAAAGCAGAATTTGGTAATTCTTCGCAATTATTATGATATGGAAAATGATTTGAATTAGTTTCAAATGATTTGTCATTTTGTATTGGCATAGTGGTAGTGGTTAGTTTATTATTTTTGTTGATGATGGCTTCTTTTGGCAACAATCCATGAGCTCGCATTTCACACGTTGCAATTTCTGCCAAAGCATTTTGTATGTATTTATGAAAAAATGTTCCTGCACTTGCAATAAATGCATCAACTTTTAAGCCATATTCAGGATATTCTAACAAAAAAGTGTATAATTCTTGAATGCCCTACAAAATAATAGTGTGAATAAAAGTAATTTCTTTTAAAACAAAAAACAAAAAAAAGAGTTATATATACTTCTTTAGATGAGTTGGTTTGACCAATCTTTTCGAATACTCTTGTAAGAATTATACTCAATTCCTGTTCAGTTATTTGATATTTTGTATTATAATTAGCATTACTGTTATTGTTGCTATCATTATTATTAACAATTCTATTGTTTCTATTATTATTATTATTATTATTATTATTATTATTATTATTATTATTGTAGAAAACCATAATTATGGTTTCTATATTCTCTATTTCTAAATTATACGTAGAAAGAATATTTACCAGACAAACTAAGACACACACCCCCTCCTAATATTAATATAAAAAAAGATCATGTAACGTTACTGTTTTATTGAAAAAGGAAGGGAATCCTTAATCGACAATCCGTCTACCTTAACTCACGCCTATTGCAAAAATCTAGGCCGTAAAATGATACAAACATATGCTAATAGCATAAATAAGTTGTTTTCTAATTATTTTGATTTAAAATAGAGGCAAAGACTTTTGCACTTTGAGATATGGGGCTTCGTATAATCTTTACTAGATCTGTAGATTTTAGAAAAGGATCTGACGAACTTTATTGCAGCTCATAAAATCCGAATATTCTAAGACTCAGTTGAAGAATCGACATAATCGACAGTTCTGTGCAAAAAGAATATGGGAAAAACTTGGCGCTGCAGAGAGGAATTATGTAAAAGAATGACAAGATAACTAGTGTCAAAGTACATGTGCTATTGAATATCAATTCATCGTGTATTTCATTCAAGTGTGGCTATATTATAAAGCCTCAGGATCCTCGTCCAGCAACTGCCATTTCTATTGCTGATGCATCAAGATTGCTCTTAACTTTTCATTCCACTTTACAAGAACCTATCTACACCTACACAAACCATTAGCAGTCAATATATACTGGATGACACTTTTTCAACACACTCATTTAACGAAATAATTGGTCGTTCATTATTTTTCCACATGTTAACAATTGGGCAGTACCCCAGGCGGAAGGTTTTTTTGACAGAAATACAAAAAAATTTTAATATATATATATATTTTTTTTTAGTGGGAAAAATTTCAGACAAAAATTCAAAAATCAGAACGAATGAATCCAGAACTTTATTATTTTTGTTATATTTTCAAAATTTAAAATCTATTCTTTTTTTTCTTTCAAATAAAAAAGATGATAAATCATAGTTAATTAATTATGACTTTTAGCCCAATATTCTTTACGAAGTTCAAATATTGTTGGTTTGTAACTTTCAGATTTAACAATAGATAAATTCTTGAATGCATTTCCATGTGGTCGTGAAACTTTTGGAATTCTACCATCAAAATCTAATATTTCATTCTCTAAACTTGTTGGTCTTTGAACATCTTCGATCACTTTAGTTTTCTCGTCCGTCCCGATTCTTACAGTCATACATCCATTGTTTCTATTTACTTTTATCACCTGTGTAAATCATTATTTTACCTTGATCATTATTTTTAAAATTCAAAAAATGCACCTCCCAGTATAAATGTAAATTTTACCTTAAGTTCCATTGTAACAGTAATGTCAATTTTCGCAAAGCCCCGTTTATATATCAATGTATCACCTTCTTTGATAACCATTGCTTTAACAAGATCTGGAAGTGTTATTTTGGCAGAATCTCCTGCTAATTGAATCTTACCAACACCTTCTTTTAAAGCTTCTCCCCACATTTCTTCAAATGCATCGCTCTGGCAATATATATATAAATAAATATAAATATAAATACATAAATAAATATAAATATATAAATAAATATAATATAACTACCTTCCAATAACTGGGAAGATCACATCTAAATTTTTCATATTCATCCCATTGCTGATTTACACCATAATTTGTAAAATATCCATACTCGATGCTAAGTTGCCACCACCATCTAGCATCTTTTACATCATCTGACAACCAAAAATCAAACCGAGGTGTTACCACTTTTGGATCAAGGCTGACAATTTGTCCATTGATTCCTGCCTCATAAAGAGTTTCACCATTGGAAGTACGTTGACGTTCTATATATGGAGTATCAATAGGTTCACCTGTTATACTTGCAATTGGTACGATGTCTTCTCTAGGAATTAAATTCATAACGCGAATTTTTTGTTCATCTGTGAACCTATTAAAATTTTCCATATTAATGATTTTCTTTTCAACAAAATAAAATTAATAATTTTAATTATTATTGTATGAATATTATATATAATACACGCATTTACATATACACATTTATACACGCATTCTCTCTCACATGTTACCTTAATTATAATAAATGAGACGATCGATTCTGGGTTAGTGAATAAATCAGTTAAATATTTCATATCTTTCCTAGTCATCCATGGTTGTTTAGTAAAAAGTTTATCAAGATATTGATTATATTCAGGTTTTGGCCTTTTTACAATAGCAGCAGAAGTGGAGGAAGATAAAACTTTAAGCTCTTCTAACGTTGAGAATATCTTGACTTTCAGAGCTTTTATTTTCTCTTTTAATGTTTCAACAACAAATCTATTTTCTTCCGATGCACACTTTTTAAGTCTCAAATCAAGTTTTTCAAGCATACTTAAGTTAGTTTCATCAATTGATGATGACGATGATGATTGTTCTTGCGCTGCTTCTTTTTCAGCAACCTTAATCTTGTGCTCATATCTTGCTTTTATTTTTTTGTAAATATAAAGATTTCTTTTCTCATATGGAAGTAATTTATTTCCTCTACTTTCATCAAGTTCTTTATCATCATTTTCAGATTGTTGAATCGTGGTTTTTTTGTTAGATTGTCTTGCTATTTTCTCTTCTATTAATTGTTGTAACCAGGCTCTTCCCAATTTATAATCAGGTTGATCTTTTGTTGACTTATTTGAAATTTCATTCAATCTTGATGTTTTTTGTTTCTTACGATTATTATTAGATTTATTAGATTTACTGGATTCAATATTACTATCTTTAGTTCTAACTTTTGATCTTAAACGTTTATTTAAGTTTTTATTATCTTGTTTAAATTCTTGAATTCCTGATTTTTTTCTTTTAACGTTTGATTTCTTTGGTTGTGAAGATTTGTCTTCCTCCTCCTCCTCCTCCTTTTCCTCCCCTTCTTCTTTTTCTTGATCAGCTTCCATATCCTGATCAACATCATTAGTGATAGTATCATTACTTGAAAAAATAGTTTCTTCTTCTTGCATTGAATTTTTGGACTCGTATTCTTCTTTGGAAGTTAGAATTGCTTCTCTAAGTTGAGCTTCTTCGAATTCATTTAACGTGTAATCATCATTATCATAATCATGATCACTGTCACCAGATTTTTTTTGGACCGTTTTTTTTAAAGCACTTTTTCCTTTGTTTTTTTTTGGAGGCATACTATTTTAAAAAATTATAAAATTTTTCAAGTAGTTGACAATTATTATTGGCTAATTAGAACACGTCAACAAAAACTTGTTTGTACTACTTTAAGTAGTATTTAGCCCTTTTTTTGTTTTGTTTATCATTCTGTTTTCCTGTAAATTTTTACCCGTTTAAAAGGATATATTTAAAAAAAAAATGATTTTTAGATCACAAGACCTCCGACTTGCTTTATTTATTCCATAATAATAATAATAAAATTTGAGGAATATTGCAAATATCTGTAATTGATTGAATTGTTTGGGAAAAATCGAATTAATTTTTTCCACCATTACATTAATTAAAGAGTTAAATTGGTGTAACTTCTAAATTTTTTTGGCTATTACTAGATTTTTAAATCACGCTAAATGTCACATAAATAAAACGTGATATGATGCGATGATAGTATCTAAATTGGTTAAAAAGAAATATTAATTCAAAATTTTTTTATTATCCAATGGAATTGCGATTGACAAGAGAGCTTTATGTCCACAGGTATATATAACTCAGGTCCTAATATGAAAACAATATTTCACCTATTCATTATTGATAATGAATGGTATGAAATTTTTGAATTTTGTAGTACAAAGATAACAAATTCAAGATTTCGCTTTTCCATAAAAGTAAGTGGTTGAAGCGCAATAAATAAAATATATTGGAAAGATCTACTACTACATTTTAAATTTCGGACTATTGACGTTTATAGATAACGTGTGACCATAGTACAGTGTGTGTCACAGTAATACATCCACTTTTATATAGAGGGGTCAAATTTCATTTGTAGATCTGAAGATCACGTGTGGCAAAAATAAAAAAATTTTAAATTTTATTTGAATCTGGTATTTTTCTGTGAGACTTATATCTTTTCACAGCATACTCAGCCTGTTTCATATCCAACCCTTTTCTA